TTCTCTATATACTTTTTTAATTCGGTAATTGTGCATATATATATATATATGACAAAAGCAAAATGCGTAAAAGGATTATATAGACAAAAGGTAGAAGAAGTGCATACCATATGCTTGAGAGCCATGTCTAATGAATTCTTAGACATCATGCTTCCAAAAGCATTTCCATGAGAAATTGAACCTCCTCGAGTCTTTGTTTTTGTTTCTGACCTTTCTTGATCACCTATTGAATTTTTTCTAGCGTTCATCATCNTCACGAACTATCACATTGGGGTTGTGAGAAGTTAAGTTTGTGAAAAGAGGTTATGGATATAGCATTTTCTTTTTTATTATCCTTCTAATTAGTTCTTGGCAAAGTGAGGCTTGTCAATCTGTCGGTTTGCTTCTTTTGGTGGAGGAGATGGGGACGAGGCTGTCGAAGAGTTCTGCTTCGCTTTTAGCTAGAAGATTTGGTTTCACGTGAGAATTTTAAATGATATAGCATATTTTTGTATATATGTATGTACGTATGCTGTATGCATACCCTCCTCCCGGCGTATACTGGAAATCCAATGGGGACCTTATCAAACGGCTCGTCTATGGAGGTCTCCGAAGTATTTGCGTCTGCATGTTGAAGAGCTCTATAGGCCCGAAACCGTGCGAACTGCGCTTTTGTTTGAGAAATCTCAGGCGCCACCTTGTGTTCATAGCTGTGTGCGAGCTTCCCTTCTGTTTGAGATACCACATCCAGAAGCGCCGTCTTCTAATCACTCTTCCGTCTTCCCTACTTGTTAATCTTTATGTTATCATTATCCATGTCATATCCTATCTTTACAGCAGAAGAGGCTCAAATTAATTAATTACTGGTCTATTATTTTTAGAAATCCTAATTAATTAATTTCTACATCTTTGTAGAAAAAGATTTATTCGGTGGTAAGACATAAATTAGTGTATTCGTGAATCACTTTTGTTGATACGAAAACTTGTAGTAACCAGAGTAATCCGATTGACCTTGATGAAATCGAAACCGATATGTACATGATTTAAGGAAAATCAGCAATGCAATATAAAAGTGTGTTAAAGTAATGAACACGAATGAATTATTTAAGTGGTTCGATAAATAAGAACTTAAACTTACGTCCACCGTTTCTCTTATTACTGTGAGAGCTTACAAGAGATTATATGAAAGTGTCAATGCTAATCTGCTAACCCCTCTCTCATAGTTTGAGGGGTTATTTATACAAGTTTTTTAATAAAGGGAAGAGAGATAAGTTCGGGATTGCAAAGAAATTTGATATGCAATCCCGTCATCTTCGCGATTGAGCGTTGAGATCGCGTTGTCCGCGGTGTTGATCTAATCCCTTTCGAAATATCCGAGATTGAAGTTTATCCTTGATCTGTCAAACAATCGTTAGGATTGGTCGCTGTGCGAGTTTACTCTGGATCGTACTGATTTTAGGTCAAACTTATTGTGGGTCGAACTGCAGCTCTACGAACTTTTGAGATCCGCGAGCTTTCTGGAAAATCACACACAATAACTTTTAAAAAGATTTATTCGTTGGTTAAACATAAATTAGCTTATTAGTGAATCACCTTTAAAAAGATTTATTCGACTGTCAAACATAAATTAGCTTATTAGTGAATCACCTTTAAAAAGATTTATTCGACTGTCAAACATAAATTAGCTTATTTGTGAATCACCGTTAAAAGGATTTATTCGATGGTTAGACATAAATTAGCTTATTCAAACGATAAATTAATTAATCGGATTTATCTGTCCCACCACTGAGAACATATATTCTATCATGTTATATTACATCTTGTTTATATCACGAAAAGAATTAAATCTCCAATGCTATTGCTTTGCGTGGCTCCATCTGCCAGCAGGTTCTACGCAATTAATTAATTTAAATATACTCTTTTGGTTAATGCATCTCAAAAACGGTTCTTTAATTTATCATAGCTCTCATGCTTATATAATTTACAGAAATTTAATTCTTAGGTGGTGACCGTCGTGTTTTTTATAATGTGGATGACCAATTACAACAATAACAAATACTAAAGACAAATTAGAATTGAGAGACTAGGGATTCGTTTGGTTCATTATTCTGATAGTTTTTAGAATAATATTTTGAAAAAAATTAAATTGAGTGGGTATTACAATGTAAGATTTAAAAATTAACAAAAATACCCCCTATGTTTGTTTATTTACTGAACTCATCTATAATAAAATATTAAAAGTTAACAAAAACACCCCCAATCCACCTATTAAATACGAACAGCCGGCCACCATCGCTGGAGGGTGGCTAGAGTCGCCGTATCGACGCATGACCGATTGGATATTGCCGGTCATGCGCCAATATAACCTTTTTTGGCCAGATCTACGGCTAGATCTGGTCATTGACGGCCAGATTTGGCCGCATTTGATCGTTTATGACGGCCAACCATATCTTGGCCGTCATTGACGATTGGCTATGGCTAAAGATCTTGTCGTTGACAGCCAGATCTTTGGCAGTAGATCCGGCCGGAAAAGGCTAAATCAGCGCAATATTGGCCAGATTCAGCCGATAGTGCGTCATTATACCAGATTCCGGCCAGCTTCCAGCAGTGGTGGCCGGAATCTGGTAAATGTGGGTTGCTGGGTGTTTTTGCAATTTCTAAAAAAAAAAAATTTGGGGTGTTTAGTTAAATTAATAAATTTAAGGAGGTTTAAAAGAAATTGAATAATATAGAATAATATTGTGAGAATAAACCAATTTTACTGTTAAACATTATTAGGAAAAACTATAATAATATTCGAAAGAGTGAAACAAACGGAGCCTAAAGTATTCTTACATTATTGGTACTGATTAATATCACAAATTAATGTAACCCTCACATTTTTATTTATTTCATTGTCATTGTGAGAAGCTACAATTATTACATTTGACGCATATGTAAACTAAATTATTCATTAATTATCCTCCTTAGTTATTGGGATTCATGTTGCCCTAGTAATGGCTCCATAAATTACAAGTCATTTCTTCATACGCTTACCAATTCATACATAGAGAATTCTATTTGCTCAGAGTTCGATGAAGTTGTAAACATATATTAGACCAATAGACACGCTTAATTACATCAGTTTGGATTTTATTTTCATTTATTCAGTCTGTGTGTGGGGATTCGAACTTAAAACCTTTGACTCTAATACCATTTTAAGTTTTGATCTTATCTAAAAACTTAAGTTAGTAGGTGAGGCTCAATATATATTAGACCAGTACATTGAATATTCCCATCCACGAGCTTTGTCCTTAATCATTGTGACTCATTTTTGTTTTCATGTAAAATTATATCGCTTTTGGTTTGTATGTTAAAAAATCTAGGATATAATATGCACATGAGAATTTTCCATCTATGAATATCGTGAAAATTCCATCGAAATGAATGGATAACTTGGTAGGATCCATATACAACTCTACCACCATATATAGTTTAGCGAATTACCTAGAATATCATCATTTTATTCAATGCATTAATGCTAGTTTAATGATATAAAACTTTGCAACATTATTGCAGAAAAGGAGATAAAATTTCATATTAATTTCAAATTCCCAATTGGGGGTTAAAGAGCTTTGTGTCTCGCACTCTCTTCTTTGAAGATAATTCAAATTCATTCTCTGGTGGAGTTTTTTGAAGGGATCGTGCCCATAAGACGAGTATTAATTCGATCTCGTTTAATATTCTGTACAACTAAAAATATCATTATATAATTGGTAATTTTATAAACAAACAATATCATAATAAATGAAAAGATAAATAAATTTTAATTAATTTAAACGTGGAAAAAAAATTTGAGTCCCAAGACTAGTAGATTATGATTTATTTTGATTTGTTTAATATAAAGTTGAAAGAAGTGTCAAAGGTTTCATGTAACAACAAAGATAAGATAAACAATAAACAAATGCTCAACCTGGTCCGACCCCAAACCGACCCACCATGTGGTCAGGTAAATTGAATTTGGCCCAATGGGTTAATTGGGCTTAAACCCAATCAAAATTATTTGGGCTAAAATGAATTGTTACTAGAGTGAACCTATTTAAATCCCTCAAATTCTTTTGTAAACCCCAATAATAATATTGTAAAACTATTAATATATTTTAAATTAAAAATTAATAAAAGAGAAATTCATCTTTAATTAACAGTACTAAATGCACACAGGAACATAATTTTTGCGGTCCGTTGTTCCTGACTATGCACAAATTATACGTTCAAGAGGATATTAGGGTTTGATCAATCTAAAATAAAATTTCTCTATATACTTTTTTAATTCGGTAATTGTGCATATATATATATATATGACAAAAGCAAAATGCGTAAAAGGATTATATAGACAAAAGGTAGAAGAAGTGCATACCATATGCTTGAGAGCCATGTCTAATGAATTCTTAGACATCATGCTTCCAAAAGCATTTCCATGAGAAATTGAACCTTCTCGAGTCTTTGTTTTTGTTTCTGACCTTTCTTGATCACCCATTGAATTTTTTCTAGTGTTCATCATCTTCTCCACCATCTTACTCCCTACAAAATTATTCTGTGTTCCATTATTTCCCGAATGAACCACCATTCTCTTCCCTTCACCTTCCTTGGCCTCAACTTTTCGACCCCTCGTGACACTTGGCGAGCACGATTGCCTCCTCGATCTAGGTACAAGTTGTTGATCATCCGTCTTTTGTTTTGCCAATGACACCGGCGTTGTTGAATTAGGTCGAGTCTTGGTTGCAGAAGTTGAGCGATCGGTATTGGGTCGACCCCTTGTAGCAGAAGTTGAGCGATCAATATTAGTCCTTAAATTAGGGGGTGTTTCATTGGAAAACCCTGGAATTTGAGCAGGAATTGTTGACCGCATCGAGGGTGACACTCCCCGACTTCTTGGCTTTGTCTTTGTGGTTGTACTTGCATCTGTTATTGTTCCCGTTAGGGTTTTAGTCAAGTTTGAAGTGAGGAAACTATCGATATGATTATTGGTGATTCTTGTTGTGTTTTTGTTGGTGTTCATGTTTGTTTTTTTGTTGTTTAAATCAATAGTTAATGGTGTTGTTTTTTGGTTCGTAATTGTTGTTCCTTTGGTGGTTTTGGTTTGAGTTGGAGTACTTGGTCTTTGACTAGGGGTTATTGATCTTTGAGGGACTTTAGGTTTAGGTTTTGGAGTCTTTGGCCTTCCGATGTTGCTTGTCTTTTGTGCTCCTGAATTGCCTGCAAACTATACTTAAATATATTACTTATACGTCGAATTAACAGTTTGTCTTTCTTGCGAACGTTTATATTTTTTTAATATGTAAATTTCATGAAACAATATAGGTAAATATTAAAAAGATAAAAATTCAATTAAGTCTGTCTCTACTGCAAAATGTTCAACAATATTTTTTTTATCTTTTAGCGTAAGGAAAATAAAACAATAAGATTAAGTAACAAAAGATGAAATTAAACATACCCTTGAAAGAGGTTGAACAATTGGTAACTCCCTTTGAATGACAATTTCCGGGGCACCGGTTGCTTCCATTTCTAAGGATGGAAATAATGGAGTGGCTGGTGGTGTCTTTAACCTTCATAAACAATACATCCATCGAATTAATAAATATAAAGTAATTTTCTTAAGCTAAGTTTTGCTGATGTTGAATTTAATATTTACTAATTAATTCATCAATTAAGTACCAATCATAATCATTTTTCTCCTTCTCCTTTTCTCCAAACAGGTCATATCCTGATCCTTTCTTACCAGATCCAATTCTGTATAGTGCATAATTTCCTGTAAAAAACAATAAAAGATATATATAAGAGAATAATACGACCAAACAAGAGGTAACATTACCCATTTTTGTACCCACTATTGGATCCTTTCAATAATTTCATCGACCTTTATTGTACACGAGGTAACGTTATCCCATTTTATACTAATTAATGAATCACTCCAATAGTTTCATCTACGTCTACTTTACAAGAGGAAGCATTATGTTTTCTTATACCTATCATTGGATCACTCGAATAGTTTTGACTCTTTGACAATAATTTGTTAGGCGTCGACGAATGTAAACCCTAGTAACATAATAACTCTATTGGACATACATAAAAACATAAAGAGTAGAGTACCAGGATTCGGCTCAAACTCATCGGAAACTGGCTGGAGGAGGCTAGCAAGTCGATCTTTTTCACGTTTATGCAACTCCCTGAAGAGAAGAAGATCTTCATCTCTATTATCTTTTCTTTGGGCTAATGGCATCGAAGGGATCTTCATCTTCCTCCCACCACCACTGTTCATATTGATTCTTATGTTTGTTCAATTCTTTCTTGAAACTTTGTTTTAACAGAAGAATGAATATATAGGAAAGTGATATAATGAATTGAATAATTAATGGAATAAAAATGGAGTGACATTTGGAATGGAGGCCGGCCATGAAAAGGTCTCTGTCATTAAGCCAATGCAAAGCTTCCAAAATTCCAAATTCATAAGAAGCTTTGTGATGAAAAAATACATAGATTCCTCTAAGTTCACATTTGGCATTGTTCAATCCAATCAATAGTGTCACCTTAATTAATAAGACAAATATGAAATGCCTTAATTTCTTTGTTTAATTTTAATGGGAAACTACCACATATGATATAGCTATTTCAATAGATTAATTTTATTTTTTGAAAATGGGTTATTCCATATGATTTTTCGTTTTGAGCTAAATAAATAAATAATTAATTAATTACATATTTTTTCTATAATTATCCATATATTCATTAGAGTGTCAATGAGTGATTTCACTTATGGCAATTAATATGTTTGCATTATTTCAAGTCTTCGTTTCAAACTTTTTATACAAAATGTAAATCAATGTGTTTAAAAAAGAAAAAAAAAAAAATTGGCTTGTGGCTAGATGGCAAAACTTTAGGTTATCCGGAGGTCTTGTGTTCGAGCCTCACCAAGTAGCCATTTGCCATATATGTGACTTACCTGATCCATTGAATTTATAGGATGTTTAATGGACTTCAATGATTAGTTGAGGTACACGCAAGTTGGTTCGAATACTTCTCTTTATTTATTTATAAATATACAAACTGACGGAACACTACGTTCTTATTGATACGCAACTCATCTCTTTCCTAATTATCTAGGAGATTTTTCTCTTCATAATGGGCTTGAGCTTCAAGGCTGAGAAATTTATAATTGGGCCAATTGGGCCCATTATGTTGGTGGGCTGGACCAAGCCTACTGGCCCTGTCCCCAGTCCCACTGGTCCATACTTTCACAAAACCTAACCAAAACAAGAACCTTTTCCATTTTCTTCTTCAAGAAGAAGAAGACATCTTTATTTCGTTACGACCCAAGTCGTAACGCGTCTCAGTGGTCCGAGACGAGAAGAAGAAGAAAGAGGAGGAAATAGTAGAAATTGTTGCGGTGATTGTCTACCTCAAGCAGGCTGCTTCTTCTGCCTCATTATCAACATTTTTCAACTGCAACAACTGTGCCAGCAATCCATGAAACCAGCAGTTTGAGGAACAAGCTGTACAGAGACACACGAGCAAGACGACGAGTAGTCCGACGTCGTTTCGTTAAGAAAAGTAGTAATGTTACGACAAATACTTATGCAGCAATCGAGCTGGCTTTGGATTCGGTGGTGAAGGTTTTTACAGTTTCCAGAAGCCCCAATTATTTTCTTCCTTGGCAGAACAAATCCCAACGAGAAACTACTGGTTCAGGTTATTCCTTTCTCCATTTTCTTCCTTGAATTTGTGCATTTTAAGCCTCTTGACTCAAAAGTTTTAGCTTTAAGTCCAACAGCTTCTCGAATGAAATGTGGATTAGAAAAAAATATTGGAATTTATGCTCAACACACTCAATTACATTGCTATTAAGCATGTTAAGTTACCATATGGTTAAAAAGTTTTTAGCTGAGATAGGGACTCAACAGAAAATATTTAAGTCCATCAGCCTGTAACGTGATGCGTGTGTTAGACAGATTAGTTCAGAAAATAGATTTCCAATAACAGAGAATGTGAGGGATTTGAATTTGGGACGTTTAGCTCTAATACTGTGCTAGGTTATCACTTTATTAATATTTAAGTTCAACATTCAGCATCATTCAAGACTTATAAGCGCCATGGTAGAAAGAAGATGTAAGGAGAGCATTTGAAAAAAGTTGATGCACACAACACACTTGATTGTCATTTTGTTGAATGAACCTATTTAGTGGTAAAGTTAGTATTAGGAAACGGTGTTCTGGTCCATTTGCGTTAAAATTTGGTTAGATGTGCAAGATTATTTTTGAGGTGAGGTGAGGAGAGTTTAATATTATAATTGTTGGTTTTTCAAATAAATGTAGGATTTGTTATTCATGGAAAAAAGATTCTAACAAATGCTCATGTGGTGGCGGATCATACATTTTTGATGGTAAAAAAGCATGGTGGTTCTACCAAATATAGAGCCCGAGTTGAAGCTGTGGGTCATGAATGTGACTTGGCTATTCTTGTTGTTGAGAATGAAGAATTTTGGGAGGGTGTGACATTTTTAGAGCTGGGAGACACTCCATTTCTTCAACACGCTGTTGCTGTTGTTGGATATCCTCAAGGTACCTCCAATACATTATAATCTCTTATTTTTTTAGAGGTCTCATCTTTGGTGGGGGTGTAAATTATTAATGTTGTCTATAATGTTGTGTTCTTTGGTTACAGGTGGTGACAACATTTCAGTAACTAAAGGAGTTGTTTCGAGGGTTGAACCAACCCAATACGTCCATGGTGCTACTCAACTGATGGCTATACAGATTGATGCAGCTATAAATCCTGGCAATAGTGGTGGCCCGGCAATTATGGGCAATAAAGTTGTTGGTGTCGCTTTTCAAAACCTTTCCGGTGCTGAGAATATTGGGTAAATCTTTTTTGTGGTCTGTCTCAAATGTATCTTATGTTTATATCTAGGGAGCAAACAGATTCAGACTAAAATATATTTATTTTCATCTAGCAAAAAATTATCGTGCCCTGGCTGAATTTTTTTTATCTTATCGTCTTTCACAGCTATATTATTCCTGTTCCAGTTATAAAGCATTTTATAATTGGTGTTGAGGAAAATGGGAAATATGTTGGATTCTGTTCTTTGGGACTATCGTGCCAAACCACTGAGAATGTTCAACTTCGAAAATTCTTTGGAATGCGACCCGAAATGACTGGAGTACTTGTGGACAAAATTAATCCTCTATCAGATGCCCATAAAATCTTGAAAAAAGATGATATTGTTCTTGCATTTGATTCTGTGCCTATAGCAAATGATGGGACAGGTACCAACTCTGTACTTCTTCTTCGTGATAATTTTACATAAAATTTTATTTTGTTCTCATTTAATTTAGTAGTTGTTACCTCATTTGAAAGATAAGTAACCTAAACTGAAGTTAGGTCGTTCAAGTAAACAAATAGCCACATTTTATGCTATACTGAGATGTTCTTATTTGGTATTGCTTTTCTTGTTTTATAAAACTGTGCTTGAATCTTTGATTGCCCACTGCTTGGGAAAAACGCAACATTTTTTAGATCTTAATTAGAAGCAAAAAATGATACAAGTTCAAAAGTTTTTGTTACTTTCCTCTCTTGATGTCTTTGACATCTTTGGTTTTCCCTTATGTTCTTAATTTGTAGTCTTATTCACAACATTGCAGTTCCTTTTCGTAACAGAGAACGGATAACATTTGATCATTTGGTGTCTATGAAGAAACCCAATGAGAAATGTTTAGTTAAAGTCTTGAGAGATGCCAAAGAGCATGAATTCAGTATCACACTACGACCTGTAAGACATTGTTATCTTTTCTCTTGATTCTTGAAACTTGATGATATTAGTAGCTTGAAGATTCATTATTTGATAAATATGTTGAATGTAATGTGTTGGGATTGATCCATAAGTTTGTTGATTTTGCAGTTGCAACCTCTAGTTCCAGTGCATCAATTTGATAAGATACCTAGCTATTACATATTTGCTGGACTGGTTTTTATTCCGCTTACCCAGCCGTATCTTCACGAGTATGGAGAAGATTGGTATAACACTTCCCCACGTAGATTGTGTGAACGTGCACTGAGAGAGCTGCCTAAAAAGGCTAGTGAACAACTCGTTATTCTTTCTCAGGTCTGTTTTCTTCTTTGGCTGCAATTCATTGCTTTTAAAGTTTCTCTGACCACGTTTTCCTCAATTGGAGTTATTTTTCCTTGTATATTTTGCATGTTGGAAAATTGCTTGAGAATCAATTAAATTACTCAGTGAACCCATTCTTTTTTAATTGAAGTTTCTTTTGGCTGATTCAACTTCTGGTCACTTTTAATGATCCTGCTAATGACCATTTTGACTACCATTTTTTGGGTTGTACGGCATGAACATGCCCTCTGATTTTCTTACCTTTGATCACATCATAATAATTTATTATCTTATCTTAGAGAAACATTTTGGGTTTGAGGGTTTTGCTGGATTCAAATTTTAATATCCCGTTGCTTAAGCCATAGAGTTTCTGCTTTACCTAGTAACAATAATCACTTGTCTTGTTCAGGTACTGATGGATGATATCAATGCCGGGTATGAGCGTTTTGCAGAATTACAGGTGCGCTAATTTTAAGAATTAAGTATAGTTATCAGTCATATTCAAACTTGCTTTGATGGGTCATCACCTACTGGCTGTCATACCATCTTCAACTCCCAATGAACCAAGACGTTTATGAATGCATTTTTGAAGCAGAATATGGATGGCCAACCTTTACTTTATTGCCACTTAAGCTCCTGGCTTACAAG